CTTGGGGAGAAAATCTGGTGTGGGTATTCAGCCACCTTTCTTGGATACTAGATTGTATTAGTGTTTTCATCTCTTGGTGGGTTAAGTCGCTATTTGGTTGTACCATGTCACTGCCGCTTCTGGCCAATCTGTCCGCTATTTCATTGCCTTCCAAGCCACAGTGACCTGGAATCCACTGCAGTACAGATTGTTCTACCGAAGAGCCTAAGTAAATCAGCTGTTGCGTCAAGTCTACAAACTGAGTGTCTTTTGGGTTAACAATTGCTTGTAAAACTGACATAACATCAGTCAGAAAGACCACTCTGCTATATTTGCTGTGCTGTTGTCCATTCAGAAAAAAACATGCCGCCAAAAGTGCTTCTGCCTCTGCTCTTTAATTGGAGTACAGCCTAGTTGATTTTTAAACCATTTGGGCATTTTATTCCTTCTCCTCTGTCTCTTACTGCTCTCTTGGCTGAACCATCTGTATACACTCGAATCCAACTCTGGTGTGGATAAAGTCTATTGATCTCTCCTTCTGTAACTGATTTCATATCAGTGCTGCTCATTGATACCTTGTGTGTAATCTGTATGAACTGCGCACTTTTGTTATGTGCTTAACTGAGATCTTTGAGTAGATTTCAGTAGATGACCTTTTCATAATAGCTATATTATCAATGGACTGGTTTGCTCTGTACTATCCCTACTAAATAATATCTTTGGACATTTATGACACTAAGGAGATGAGTGGAAGATCCTGCCAATTAACGAGGTTCTGGTTTCCTAGGGGATACATGTAGTGAACAAACATTCTGACCCGTGGTTCCTTTCCTCTAATCCCGGTGGGACAAGGATCCTACCCAGTTGGCGTTTGTCTGTTCCAGACATGAAGACTGTTCTTTCTTGTCATAAATTGAGAAATGACAGCATCCTTGGGTGATATGCCAAAGTTGCATCAGAACAGCACATGACTAACTAACCAAGGTCACTCTGTATCCGCACTGAATTGACTTCATGTAAGCAATTAAAACCTGAAATGCTGTTTTCAAGAATTGTTATAAATATTGACCAAATGGTTGAATAATGAGGTTAACTATGAACACACTGTTGTGAATGTGTGCTCCAGAAGCTCAATGCATTCTCCTCTGTAGGATTGTAACGCATAGAGCATAGGTACTTCAGTAAGATTGTAACGCATAGAGTATAGGTACTTCAGTAAGATTGTAACGCATAGAGTATAGGTACTTCAGTAAGATTGTAACGCATAGAGCATAGGTACTTCAGTAGGATTGTAACGCATAGAGCATAGGTACTTCAGTAGGATTGTAACGCATAGAGTATAGGTACTTCAGTAGGATTGTAACGCATAGAGCATAGGTACTTCAGTAGGATTGTAACGCATAGAGTATAGGTACTTCAGTAGGATTGTAACGCATAGAGTATAGGTACTTCAGTAAGATTGTAACGCATAGAGTATAGGTACTTCAGTAAGATTGTAACGCATAGAGCATAGGTACTTCAGTAAGATTGTAACGCATAGAGCATAGGTACTTCAGTAAGATTGTAACGCATAGAGTATAGGTACTTCAGTAGTATATTATGTTGTCTTCTCTCTGGTTTTAATGTCATTAAATGTTTGAAATTATACCTTATTCTTAATGTTTTGGCAGTCACTGTCTATTTGGGGTCTGCACGGGTGTGCTGTTTTAAATGCAGGTAGCGGCTGACTAAATTGTGGAAGGGTCTCTGGTCAGATTTGTCAGGTGTTCACATTCTTACACAACATCTAGTTCACATCTTATACTGTAGTTGGTCCTACCTACCATCTAGTTCTCATATGTTACTATGGGGGGTCCGCCTATCATCTAGTTCACATAAGTTACTATGGTGGGTCCGCCTACCATCTAGTTCACAAAACAGGAGTTGCTTTCTCCGTGTATTTTTCGTTGGCACAGAAGCGGAGCAACTATGGAGTGACCCGTTTGCTATGAAGCTGAAACTAGGATTACCAGATTACCAGATTTCTCTGCTTGTAATCATGTCGTAAGAAAATCACTTAGGTAAATGTATACACTTGAGCTACACCTGCAGTCCAGTGGTATTCCTGAAATAATGAAGATGATCACTCTATCGTTTGAATTCTTTCCTGTCACCACAGAGACCTTATGTCACTTTATGACAATCAGTAATGAGAAGTAGCAATGTCAGGGGCAGACAAATAGTTTGTGACACGGCTTGCTACGATACACACTCTTCGTGCACCATTCTTATGACCGACTAATGACACATCATTATTTTTTGTACAGTATACAGGGGTTTGGGGTTCGATCCCAGCTGCGGGCCATGCGCCTTGCGTTGGTTTCGACAGTGGTATAAAGAAAGCCGACCGCCCAGAAGGCAATGGCAAACTACTAGACGTAAACTTGCCTAGAAAAACCACACAACAGCCAGGGGCTGTTGGGGTTGGTTCTGCAACGTCCTGTAAAGGATACGCAGCTAACCTCCTCCACAGAGGAGTTTATTCATTCGCCCATTAGCCTTGGTAGAATATAGTAAATTAGTAAGTAAGTTTATATATATATTAACTATTAACAGCACACACAGAATAGAGTCTTCAGAACCACATCAGTCTAGTCAACCCTAAGAGGGAAGAATATCGTTTGGAAAAGCATCGACAAGATAGAGACAATGATGACAGTATTAGTGGAAATGCCTGGTATGCTGTGATGTTCAGTCCTCAATTATTATTCAGTAACAACCTGCCGTATGCTGACAATATATTTGTGATCGCTGCAAATTAAACACAACTGTAAGAAATTATGGATATAATCGTAACGTAAAGTGAAAACAAGGGTTTTAGTTTAAACAGCAGAAAAACAGAAGTTTTGGTAATTACAAAGAAAACTGAACCTCCAAAATGCAGCATCAAAGTAAATGGGACAAACCTCAAGGAATTTGATATGTTTAAGTTCTCAAGTACCCTGATAACATTCGGTGGAAGATGTATACAAGAAATTAAATGTAGAATAGCTCAGGCAAAGACAACATTTTACACACACAAATTCTTTATGCAGTCTTTCTTTGTCAATTGAGACGAGAAAAAGAATTCTTAAAAACTATTTAAATCATATCTTGATACACAGAAATAAATCATGGGCGATTGGTTAATTAGTGAAAACTTTTTTGGAAGATGCAGAGATGTTGTTTTATAGAAGAGAACTGACTGCCCACATCAGAAAGAGACAATCTACTTTCTTTGGTCATGTGATGAGAAGGAGAAGACTGAAGTACATCATGACAGTTGGAAACGAGCAGAGAAGGAGAGGCAGAGGATGAGTGAGAGAACAGATGCTAGACAGTCTGACATCATGGCATAGAAGATCATCTGTGTCAGAGTTGATTGAAATGAAAAAAAAAAAAAACACGAGACAGATGGTTGTAGACAGACATGACAACCAACGCTACACGGCATGGACACCAGACAGAAGGTTGTGGACAGACATGACCACCAACGCTAGACGGCATGGACACGAGACAGAAGGTTGTGGAGAGACATGACCACCAACGCTAGACGGCATGGACACGAGACAGTAGATTGTGGACAGACATGACTACCAACGCTACACGGCATGGACACGAGACAGAAGGTTGTGGAGAGACATGACCACCAACGCTACACGGCATGGACACGAGACAGAAGGTTGTGGACAGACATGACTACCAACGCTACACGGCATGGACACGAGACAGAAGGTTGTGAAGAGACATGACCACCAACGCTAGACGGCATGGACACGAGACAGAAGGTTGTGGACAGACTTGACCACCAACGCTACACGGCATGGACACCAGACAGAAGGTTGTAGACAGACATGACTACCAACGCTACACGGCATGGACACGAGACAGAAGGTTGTAGACAGACATGACTACCAACGCTACACGGCATGGACACGAGACAGAAGGTTGTGGACAGACTTGATTACCAACGCTACACGGCATGGACACGAGACAGAAGGTTGTGGACAGACATGACTACCAACGCTAGACGGCATGGACACTAGACAGAAGGTTGTGGAGAGACATGACTACCAACGCTACACGGCATGGACTTTAAGAAGAAGCAACAGCATCAGTAACATGCGGTGACGTAGCTGGTCCCAGCTTGCGCACGTACTTTATGTACAGTCTTGTTCTATATCTGATGGTACTTGGTCATTATACTTGTAGTGTGTAGAGGGTATTATTCAATCCTCTGCATCTACCAGAAGCCATACCAATAGGGGGAAAAAAAAACAGTAGCCCGGTAAAATAAACAAGTGATTGTCTACATCTAGGGTTTATTATCACATAGGCGGGAAGAATGGATTGTGAATTAACATACCTTGTGCAAAAGCAAACAGGTATTGTGGACAACTAACACCACATGTGACACACAGAGAGAGATAACTTTATTGATTAAAGTAAATCAAATGGGAACTATGTTTTAAGTAACTATCAGTGCTATGCATGAACCATTTCCTTAACGAATGCGTGCACAATCAAAACAATCAAGATGAGATGCATTAGAACTGCCGGAGTAGCACTAAGAGATTTTAGCAAGAACACGCAGAATTTGCCTCCCTCTCCTCCTATCACTTAGATTGGGTAACTGGGGAAGGGTGTGGAGAAGTAAGTTAGTAAGGGACGTTTTTAGGATATGCGTCATGCTTGTGGTAGCAAGGCCATATTTATCATACGACACTCGATACGTAACATGGCAACATTGTATCTGTTGTTAATACTTCAGATGCCATTTTAGGCTGGGCTAACCTGAGGCTGTGAGGCCAGTGTCTAACCACAGCCCATGTTCATATTATTGCGCAGCCTATTTCAGGTCAAATTAAACTCAGACTACACAAACAATCACACACAAAAACCTATATAATTTTGAAAGAAAAAAGGGGCAACACTATCTCTGATGACCCAGGCTACGAACAACATGAAGCCTGTTTCAAACAACGCAATGTCGGATCACTTACTTTTTGTGTAAATCTCTCGTAGATCCGACGGCCCTGCCTGTTCTCTAATGACAGCAGACGTGAGTCGATCAAATGCCTGATTCTGTCTGTGTCCAGGCCTTTCTGGAGAACTAGAAGACTTTGAACGACCGCACTACCCCCTGTCCTGTCCTGTCCTAGCCACATGAGCTCTGAGCTGGTGAGGTGGGTGTGGCACCAACATAAACAGCAGCGGCTACACAATGAGGTCCCACAACAGCAGAGCCAGCTACATAAACGTTTGATTAGCACCACAATGGGGACAACAACTATGATCAGAATGAGAAGTGGCCAAAGAAGAATGAAGGATATGACAAAGAAACAAATGGCTGAAAGTATGACTGCAGCCAGGCTAATCTGAGTATAATGCAGGATTCTGTTGTAAGGAGCGTTGGGAAATCCAACGGTAACCCCGCGGTCACGACTATCACGCCCTGTGCCATGCAGATGAATATCACCTTCCACCTGATCTGACATATCTGGAAGGTCAAGGCAGACTTCAGATTGGGCGTCTGATGAAGTCAAAGACGACTGACTGTAAATTGTATGTATGGGTGGCAGTAGAGAATCCGGTGTCTGCAGCTGGTTAGGGGAAATGTGGGCAGCGCTGACTGATGAAGCTGACGTTGTGATTCGTATAGGCTCGTTTGATTGGGAGTAGAGATCTGTGAGGTGGTGTTTGGCTTTAGGGAAAGTTTGCATGAAAGGTATGGAAGAAGGTCTCTGAGCTGATTTGTTGACGTGTAAATCCTCAGGGTAAGCACTGAGCTTTCTTTCAAATTCCTGATGCTGCTTTAGTAGATGTTCTTCGGCCAAGGGTTGCGGACTTTTAGAAATGGACGCCTGCCGATTGGTCTCATGTAGAATCGATATCAACTTCCGGGGTTCTACATTCGTCACTGTATCGTCGAGAATTTCGTAGTCTACTTCCAGTGGGTCCTGATCTATGTGTCCTCTGGAGAATTTCTTGCGTTGCCGTGTCGGTGTCGGGTGCATGTTCGGGGCTGTTCCAGACGATCTTGTTAGTGAATGTAATAGTTTGAACGAAACAGAAGATTTACGAACGGAACTAACAGATGTGTGCGGTGGTGACGTGGCTAAAGCAACTCCTTCTATAGATATTTCAGTTTCTACAGAATTTTGTTTCCTGTTCCGATCATTTGACTGTTGTCGATGTTCTAAATCGAACTGCTGCATAGATTTGAGATGCTCTGTCTCCCCTTCCAGTAAGTCAGTGTCTCTGCCAGCCCTCTCGGTGGCCAAATGTCTTGTGTGGGTTTTCCCTTTCTTCGTGGACAATGTCTTCTCATCGCCCTGAGATACAGTGTCCTGCACTGCTGAATGAGATCTGGCATGCTTTCCTTTGTCGTTTTTGTGTGTTGTTTCTCGCGGCCTTGTCACTGATTCTGTTTCTAAAAAAGCCATCGTTACCTTGTCAGAAGCCAGCCTAGCTTGCGATAAGGCCAGCGTGCGGTGCTTGTGTGTGCCTTCAGATGCTGGCCCCTTGGAGGTCTCTGCATGTGTCTGACTATCCTCAAATGATAACCGTATATTAGGTATGGAAGATCTTCTACTGTGCCCTCTGCTCTCGCCTTTTGACTTGTGTTCATTGGCGGAGGGTTCGGATTTCCCCGGATCCGGGTGTATGTCTCGAGGTCTTGTTGCGCTTCTAGCCCGTCTTTTATTTGTTGGTGTCTCTGCTGAGGTTTTGGAGTCGTGTACAGCTTCTTTGATTCTATGCGTATGTAACTTACTTTCGCTGACCTTACTTGCTTTCGCTTTATCATCGATCTTAGCGTACGCTGTACTTCTGTCTCCTGCAGCATGTTTGCTGTTAGAGCTATCGTTGTTGGCATGCCTTGATAGGACTCCATCTTCTTTTTTCTGCTTGTGTTTTCCTGCCGCTGGTTCCTCTGTTGGTTTGAGTTTTGCTGTGACGTGGCTGTCATCAGACTGTCCACGTCGTGAGACAACCGTCTGCAGTTTGAAGTGCCTGCCAGCTTCATGTCTTCCTGTGTTTGGATGAGCTGCAGGTGTTTTTAGTGTAGAATGTCCCGACAAATGTTCGGGTAAAAGCACAGCTTTCACGTCCTTGCCAGAGCGAAGGTCACTCTCAGGGTCACGTTTATGTTTAGACTTAGATATAGGCTGTCGACGGCTCTGGCCGTGAACCGAGTCCATCGAGTAGCCGGCCCATTACCGCCGCTTTCTCGGCATATCTGCGAGGAAATCAAGCAGACGTTTTATAAGATTAAATTTAAAAAAAAACATCTCTGTAAAACAGAAACACATCTTACACTAGCAAATTTGTATTATGTTAATGTGTCATACAGTAAATGTTGAAACCATATCCACATAACAGCGAATTGAATTCTGCGTAAGTATCCATACTTGGTCTCTCTCTCTCTCTCCCCCTCCCTCTCTCCCTTCCTCTGTCCCCTCCCCTCTCTCTTTCCCTATGTATGCGCGTGAGTGTGTGTGCAACAACAAACTTTGTGTGGCCACTTCGAAAGAAACCAACTTAGTTTGTGGGAGAAAATACATGTATAGCCATGTATACATGGAACGTGAATCTAGGGATTGACAGGCCAGATTGCATTTATTGTTTCATGCTGTACTCAGATCGAGTTTATTTTATGAGTGAGGATGTGAAGTCTGCTCTGGGGCTAAGTCGATGCGAACGCTTTGTAATGCCAGAGTGCCGGGTTCGAACCCAGCTGCGGGCCATGCGCCTTGCGTTGGTTTCGACAGTGGTATCAAGAAAGCCGACCGTCCAGAGAGCAATGGCAAGCTTCTGGACGTACATTTGCCTAGAGAAACCACACAACAGCCAGGGGCTGCTGGGGTTGGTTCTGCAACGTCCTGTAAAGGATACGCAACTAACCTTAACAGAGGATGTGAAGGAGGATTGGCAGCCCGTAATAATTTGCTGAGCACTGTTTCCTGCTTTGGAAAGTTGACAAGATCTAATAAGTTCCATCGCCACGTCGCATCACATGATTATCTGGCACCATCTGCTAAGTCCAAGGCGGGACTGAAATCTACAGTGGAGCAGGAGTTCTTATGGTCATCGTGTCATGAAATCTGTCCTTGATTCGGGCGGATAAGAGAAAAGAACAGAACAATGTCAGGGTTTCCTTGTCGACAACAGTGCTTCCCAAAATGTGTACTACCGTCCCTTGGAAGTGTTCGGACCGTTAATGAGACAAACAGCTTCGGTGAAAATTGCGGAAAAAGGGGTGGAAAAGGGGGTGGAAAAAAGGGGGGGGGGGTGTCGTTTGAACGGTCCAGATGGATGCGACGTGGTTCTTTTTGTGTGCTCAGGCTGTTTCCTAGGGGATTGTACTCTGACTGACACGTGATGAATTGACGCACAAAGATTTTATTGAGGAGACACAAGCGCAGTTGGTATCTTTATTACTCACAGAAGACAAACCGGTCCGGTCACCGTCCGCTACTCTCTAGCATGTCGAAATATTCAATAGGTAACAATGACAAAGTTCTTCCACGCTGATCACAATCATTCCCGTTCGCTCCCTTTGCAGTCATCACGTCTCAATCGCGCCACATGTATAGATCTCAAACAAACATCACCGGCCACTGGCTGTTCAGATCCACCATCAGGCTAGTTGGCAACTTTATTGCATTCTGGCTGGGCGGTCATCTTGTCGAATTCAATCTTCTCCACGCTGTTTAGCTATATCATGTCGCATTCACACACAACACAACCTCTCACGCTGTTTAGCTATATCATGTCGCATTCACACACAACACAACCTCTCACGCTGTTTAGCTATACCATGTCGCATTCACACACAACACAACCTCTCACGCTGTTTAGCTATACCATGTCACATTCACACAAAACAGAACCTCTCACGCTGTTTAGCTATACCACGTCGCATTCACACACAACACAACCTCTCACGCTGTTTAGCTATACCATGTCGCATTCACACACAACACAACCTCTCACGCTGTCCAGACCACATACCAAGAGACACGTAGACAATTTGTAACATTGAAAATAGTCTTTTCAGTTGAAATGTTATAGAAAGATTCTACAAATACTATGGACAATGGTGAAGAGAAATACTGACGTCCTTAAAGATCTGAACATTATGGAAAGTAAATAGCATCTTGTCTTGGAAGCAGAAATATTTTGGTCAAATCAAGCATATAATAACGTAAGGCATGGTACCAGGAAGGAGGGGCAGGGGTCGACCTGACGAAGGTGGCTACAGGAATGATTCCTTGGTTATAAAGGTGCATGATGTGGGAGAGCTGGCGAGAGACCAAGTTTCTATTATGCAGACCGTAGCGTGAGAAACGTTCTGCCAAAAACCTGCCACACGAAGATGATGAATTGTAACTTTTTATTCATGTGATGTGCTAGTGAAATCTTTATAGACGCAACGTTCACTTATCCTTTATGGTTGTGTTAATGTAACAGAATAACAATTACACCAGAAAAAAAAAACAAAAAAACTCATCATTTTCAATAAACAGGTTTTTTTTTTTTTTTAAACAGAAAGTAACTCTGGCCTGGGCAACGTAACTCTCGCCTGGGCAACGTAACTCTCGCCTGGGCAACGTAACTCTGGCCTGAGCAACGTAACTCTCGCCTGGGCAACGTAACTCTCGCCTGGGCACCACTGACAGCCTATCTTTCTCTAACAAATTCTTAAGCCATATAGGATAGACTAAAAAGGTACACGGGGATATGAGTTATGTGTTAGATTATCTTCACAGCACTCAGGAAACATCCACAGGCGTTCAGATTCCCCTCTCAACATTCTAATCAGCATCGTGCGGTTAAAAGTGCCAGTACTATGTTGGTTAACAAGACTTCATGTGCGTCCGGTGTGCTTCTCATGCTTGGCTGTGTCGATCTATACTCCCAATTCTCGTACTGATTTAGGTATCAGCTAAGTAAGCCACAGCTTAGGATCTCACAATAAACAGAGCCTTACACGTTTTTCTGTCGCTTATTTATTGCAACTTGAAAAGGGGGAAAACCCACAAACACAAATTTGAAACGTGTTGCCAATTTTACTTATCAACCCACTAGAAAATCTCTTTTCTGGTCAGATCTTTAAAACTGTTCAAATCAGCACATCGCTTATCTTGTCAGATCTTTAAAACTGTTCAAATCAGCTCATCACTTATCTTGTCAGATCTTTAAAACTGTTCAAATCAGCACATCACTTATCTTGTCAGATCTTTAAAACTGTTCAAATTAGCACATCACTTATCTGATTAGATCTTTAAAACTGTTCAAATTAGCACATCACTTATCTTGTCAGATCTTTAAAACTGTTCAAATTAGCACATCACTTATCTTGTCAGATCTTTAAAACTGTTCAAATTAGCACATCACTTATCTTGTCAGATCTTTTAAACTGTTCAAATCAGCTCATCACTAATCTTGTCAGATCTTTAAAACTTTTCAAATTAGCACATCACTTATCTTGTCAGATTTTTAAAACTGTTTAAATCAGCTCATCACTTATCTTGTCAGATCTTTAAACTGTTCAAATTAGCTTATCACTTATCTTGTCAGATCTTTAAAACTGTTCAAATCAGCTCATCACTTATCTTGTCAGAACTTTAAAACTGTTCAAATTAGATCATCACTTATCTTGTCAGAACTTTAAAACTGTTCAAATCAGCACATCATTTATCTTGTTAGATCTTTAAAACTGTTCAAATCAGCTCATCACTTATCTTGTTAGATCTTTGAAACTGTCCAAATCAGCTCATCACTTTTCTGGTCAGATCTTTGAAACTGTTCAAATCAGCTCATCACTTATCTTGTTAGATCTTTGAAACTGTTCAAATCAGCTCATCACTTTTCTGGTCAGATCTTTAAAACTGTTCAAATCAGCACATCACTTTTCTGGTCAGATCTTTAAAACTGTTTAAATCAGCACATCACTTATCTTGTTAGATCTTTAAAACTGTTCAAATCAGCTCATCACTTTTCTGGTCAGATCTTTAAAACTGTTCAAATCAGCACATCACTTATCTTGTTAGATCTTTAAAACTGTTCAAATCACCCCATCACTTATCTGGTTAGCTCTTTGAAACTGTTCAAATCACCCCATCACTTATCTGGTTAGCTCTTTGTAACTGTTCAAATCACCCCATCACTTATCTGGTTAGCTCTTTGTAACTGTTCAAATCACCCCATCACTTATCTGGTTAGCTCTTTGAAACTGTTCAAATCACCCCATCACTTTTCTGGTTAGCTCTTTGAAACTGTTCAAATCACCCCATCACTTTTCTGGTTAGCTCTTTGAAACTGTTCAAATCAGCACCGTCGGCAGGTAGCGTGTTTACGGTTACATCTGAACGTTAAAGTCTAAAGTTTCCTTTTGTCTACACCAGTGTTTTCTATCGTAAGCGCCACCGACCCACGGGGAGGGGTAGGGGGGGGGCTGAAACAACCTGGGTGGGGGTAGCAGCCGTAGATGTCGTTGAGTGCGTTGGAGGAAAATAATACAATGGTAACCAGCGCGAGAGAGAGAGAGAGAGAGAGAGAGAGAGAGAGAGAGAGAGAGAGAGAGAGAGAGAAAAGAGAGATTCAACTGAGAGAGGGGGAAAAAAACCTGTTGTATATTTCTCAAAGTAATGTTAATATTAAAATCGCAATGATTGTCTAATTTTCCAAATAAGCAAGGAAATTATGTTATAACCAGTTCTTCTCATAAACATTACAGAATCTGATTGCTATTCTTAGTTGTGCTTTAGTTTTCCCATACGTCGACACTGGACGGAAGGATGGCCGGAGCTGAAACTTCTGCATGTATCGGTTACTCACAACAGGTATTTTTGAATGAGAGACTTTTTGTACAGATTGTATGCAGATAACCTCTTAAGTAATACCGAATGTTTGGTTACAGTGTAGTTCCTGGCAGTAAACTCTTGCCGCCACCTATCTGTGTAGTATGCTGAGAAATTATGTCAAATGAAGCTATGAAACGTCCAAAACTTGTGGCTTGTTTGCATTCATATCATAAATATTTTTATTCATACGCCGCATGCCTTTACCCAAAGATGAAAATTCAGAGAAGTCAAAGGAAAGTGATGACGTCTATTGACAAGTCACCGCTTCGAGCTTCTTCTAGTTGCTCTCCGAACAGGTAAAGAGAATAGAGAAAACAAGTATACAACTGGTG